TGTCGCTAATAGTGTAAATAATTATGGTTTTCATTAGTTTTCATGTCATTTCTAAATTTGTCTTTTACACTGTTTCCATTATAAAGTAGATGTTGAGTAGTAAAACAGCTGTTGATTTTCTAACTCATAAAGAAATAGGGAATTCTCCAAAAGATCAGAAATGTTTTTTTAATTCCATGGCAGAGTACTGGAATTTTAAAAAAAATTGCAACCTCCTGTACCTGTACCTCCCTGTACCTGTAAACATTATACCTCTTTGTAGCGTTGCTTTTCACAAAGGCTCAATGCAAGTTAGCTTTTGATATTTAATGGAGAAGTGTACAGAAACATCGGAAAACTTTCGCTCCTGCTCTTTTGAGAGTTTTCTGCAATTTTTTCAAAATATGATAAAGGAAGAAGAACAGTTTATGTCCGTTTTTTGCCATGTGTCTAATTTTGAAAATTACTAGGCTTTGACAAAACAATAAAGTGGAAAATCCGTTCTCCCTGAGAGTTATTACACATTGAAAATAAGAAAAGTGGAGAAAAGTAGTTCCTGTCTAACTTAAAATCTGTTTTTACTCAATAAGCATTTTTGGGCACAAACCGTTCTTCCTTCCAGATCTTCAAATGTATTGAATAAATTTAAACGTATAAATAAATGTAGAGAATTTTTTTAGAGAAATGGTATAAAGATCCGTACAAAATTGAACTTTTCTTGCTAAAATAAACTTTAATTGCGGAAAAATTTGGACTAGTTTAAACCTTTAAAAAAGCCTCCTTTTTTGGCAAAACTTGGGAACAAAAAGGAAGAACCAAGTTGCGGTTGCGAGATGTAGAGCTGTAAGAAATTTAGGAACACTGAAAGAACTGAAGGATCATTGTCACGCAGAAGAATACGTGTAAATCTCTTCAAAGGAAAGCTTTGGTTACTCTGGGCTGTCGTTAATGAGGATGACATTAATGAATTTTAAAAATAACACAAAAAGAGAGAATCAACGCAATTTTTAACTTACATCAGGAGGAAATCTGAATAATCATTACAATTTGTAGTTGTTTTTATCCAAACATCGAAAAGAATACTCAAAATAGCCATAAACATAGAGGACAAACAGTTATTTCATAAAGAGTAGGGGAGAGTGGGGTCAATTGTAACAAGGTACGATTGTAACAGAGCAAAAATTTCGAGTGTCGGGTTCTAGATTTGATTCCTAGGTGGCGCACAAGGTGCATTTAACAAATCTGCATGTACACCCCTGATAGCAACCATTTTTATGTACTTTTGAAAGAGTTACATCGCAAAAGATATTTTCACGCCACGCAAGTACTTTTTTTGGTATTAGAATANATATATATATATATATATATATATATATATATATATATATATATATATATATATATATATATATATATATATATATATATATATATATATATATATATATATATATATATATATATATATATATATATATATATATATATATATATATATATATATATATATATATATATATATATATATATATATATATATATATATATATATATATATATATATATATATATATATATATATATATATATATATATATATATATATATATATATATATATATATATATATATATATATATATATATATATATATATATATATATATATATATATATATATATATATATATATATATATATATATATATATATATATATATATATATATATATATATATATATATATATATATATATATATATATATATATATATATATATATATATATATATATATATATATATATATATATATATATATATATATATATATATATATATATATATATATATATATATATATATATATATATATATATATATATATATATATATATATATATATATATATATATATATATATATATATATATATATATATATATATATATATATATATATATATATATATATATATATATATATATATATATATATATATATATATATATATATATATATATATATATATATATATATATATATATATATATATATATATATATATATATATATATATATATATATATATATATATATATATATATATATATATATATATATATATATATATATATATATATATATATATATATATATATATATATATATATATATATATATATATATATATATATATATATATATATATATATATATATATATATATATATATATATATATATATATATATATATATATATATATATATATATATATATATATATATATATATATATATATATATATATATATATATATATATATATATATATATATATATATATATATATATATATATATATATATATATATATATATATCAAATGATACTAATTGCAGACGACCATCATATTATGTACAAATAAATGAAAGACAGAGAAGGATTTTTTTTTAAAAAAGCCAATGTTGTAAAAAAAATTTCTTGAAAAAGTTTTGATTTTTTCACCACCAATTTCACTCGGAAATTTCTTATTGCTGGAAGTTCAACTTCTTATAACGCCTCTTTTAGATATCATGTAAAATTATTAAAACAGGTTTTGCATCAGCTTGAAAATATTCTAGCCCTTCTTTCTCTTTGTTAAATAGCGTTTTCGAATAAAACCAGAATCTTGCCAGTCATACAAAATCGGGTTGCACAAAAAAAAAAAAAAAAAAAAAAAAAAAAAAAAANAAAAAAAAAAAAAAAAAAAAAAAAAAAAAAAAAAAAAAAAAAAAAAAAACTGTAAGCTACAGGATAGACCAAATCAAAATCTCGGAAAATTAGAATGCATTACCTCAACTCTAAAGAATAGGGCCCCATGATACTTGTGATGCAGAGAAGCGTGATTAAAGTGTCTTTTATGATTAAGTTTTTATATTTGTTCAAATAACTTAATTTTTCTAAAAATTACAAATGTATTCAATACAAAATTTTTTTGCCTTAATTTTGAAATCTCCATACGTTTTTCTCTGTAAAAGGATCATCCAGCTAATTTAATGCTTTTAACAAGCATTTTAGGAGAAAAAATATCGCTTTTTTTTATTATTTCAATATATACTGGTTTTATTGGACTATCAGGTTGGATGTAACCAAGTGCTAATATGCTTCCAAACAATAAATAATTTACCCTTCAAAATACAGTTTGTGTTTTTGTGATAAATATTTAATTTTCTTATTTGAATTGGTTATTTATCATCCGAATAAAAATTTAAACTGTTTCATTTACGTATTTTGACAGAAAAAAAAGAGAAATTTTAAGGACTTGGTTTTGTCAAACATTCCTCTCTATCAAAAATGATCAAAGCATATTCTCTTTCTTCTTTTCAAATAGTATTAGTTTTTAGGTAAAACTGAGAGAATTTTATTATTATTAAACATTTTCAAGTTAATTATAATTAGCAACAATGTCAACTCGTATTGCTTATGTGATTTTTGATCGTTGAGAGTCAAAAGAAATCCTCAGATCGATTTGTTTGAATTTTCATTCTAAATGCAGATGCTCCCAAAGTGGAGCTCCATGGAGTGAGCTTTTCCTACCTGGGTGAAGGTCGGTTTTCAACTGTTCACGTTTTAAAGAACAAATATCGTTCCAAAGTAAATATCAGAAAAGAACGGCTTTATTCCACGATTTGAAAAGATTGCGATTTTATTATATATGTTTTCAGCAGCAAGCTCACCCATTGCAGATTTCACAATATCTTCGAGTATCGATGTTAATTACCCGTGACAAATACTCCTATTTTCTTTTATATTAGTAATACTTTTAATGTCATCAGTGACTTATTAATTAAAATAAAAAGAACCTGAGTTAAATTTAAGTATGAGTTGCATAAAGTGAAGTTTATATCCCCGGCCTTTACTTCCACAGTTTCTGTCTCTTTTTCTTTCTGTCTCCACAAACGAATATTATATGACAGGGGTTTCCAACTTGCATGAGGCCGGGGGCCACAATTAAGAACACAAATCAAATGGCGGGCCGCAACTTTATCAAAAATTTTTGTAGGACGCTTTTATGCTTGAAGGAACATTAAATATTACTGTCAGAGTATTACCAAGTTGTACAAAACAAAAGTATTGAATTACAAATTAAAATAAGAAGTAGATTTTTAAAAATATTTAATTGCTATTAATAATATTTTTAAAAATATTAAATAAATAATAAAAATTCGGGCTACAATAACTTAATGTGCACGTATGTATTAAACAATTAATGTGCAACAGATATCTAAATGTTAAGATATTAAACTTATATAGTAGCAAAACAAAATATTCAATGAGAAAATTGATGTTTGTCTGCTGCAACCACCAGAGAATAGGTATTTGCATCTTAAATTTAAAATTACAAATGTGTGTGAAAATATTTTCGTCCAAACTGAGTGGTTTCAAAAAGTAAAATCGGAGAATTTCTTCAAGAAAATTTCTGATACGCACATGCTAAGTTATATTCACAAAATACAAAAAAAAGAAATAAAAAAGAGCAACATACACGATTATTTTAGTATTTGAATAAATATTTTCTTGGGTGCAAAACGTGAAAAATAGATTTCTTTGCACCGTTGGTATGCTAAATTTCACAGAAACGAGAAATTAGGTTTTTATTAGCGAGAAAAGTATTTTAAACCCATATAGATTTTTTACGAAAATTGTCCGTAAAAAAATGACAACTGATATATTTTAGTTCGAGGGCCACAAGAAAAGGCTTCGCGGGCCGGATGCGGCCCCCGGGCAGCCAGTTGGAAACCCCTGTTGTATGACTTGGGTGCCGTGAATATACGATTTTTATATAACTTGGGTTAAATTATATGACTTGGGTGTTAATGTTTTAGTTCTTAAGTTAGCCGCAAGTCCTGTTAACTTCTTCTCAAAGTATGAAGTATACAAAAGAAAAGTTAATTTTTATCCATATCTGCTCAAATTTATGAAGAAAAAACTTGTTTATATACCAATGGTTAATCATTTTATTCCATTTTTGTTTATTAGCCTCTAGCCAAAATTGCATAAGGGGTGGAATGATGGACAACCAGTGCATAGCGGAGGAATTCCAGAATGTTATGGATGATTTCATGGAAATTGAAGAAGCTAAAGAAAGTGTGGGCAGTGAATTTGAAGAACTTGGTGAAGATTTCGAGGAGATTGCGGATATATACCAACCTCTTTTAGATTGTCACACAAAGTTTCCCTTCCCATTTAAGGATTGTTACAGAAATGTTGAAGTTCAAGCTAAAAAGGAAGAAAAAGGAATGTCATTCAGAGAATTTGAGGACTACAAATGCGCGTAAGATTTCCATGCCTTACTTTATATAAGTAAAGCTGTTGTACTACTAACATTTGTGATCATATTTGTGATCATCTATTGGTACCAATAACTTTGAATACCAATGTTAATTATTCCGCATGAATTCGAACGAACTTCGTAATTTTAAATGACAAAAGTATTACTCTAAAAAGCATTCTCATTTAAAAGGCAGGCTTATTATCGTCCTACGGGTTTCTTTTTTTATTTATTTATTCATTTTCAAATTTTATAAAAATGTTGGTAGTGTTATTCAATTACCAACTCAATGAAACTGTAATTTAAGCAAGAAAAAGTTTGGGGCAGACGCAAGGAAAGTTTGTCGGGCAATTTCAAAAGTATCTCTCAATTGAGTACACCTTCAAGAGCAATCTCTTCGTTCCTTAAAGAATAGTTGTCCCTTACTTAGACACTACTTAAAACCTTGAAACATTTCTTTTATTGTCATAAAATTTCATTTCAAACTTCATCAGTAAATTTAAATGGTATTAAAATTTAAATAAATAACTTGTAAATAAGTGAAAGAATTAGATATATATATTTAAAATTAAATATAAATATAAAACACGTGTAATTTTTGAAAAAGTGTGTGATAGTTACAATTGAGTTTCGTACTTGTAGAGAAATATATTTAAAATATTCTCTTATGTCATTTTGTCTAAAAATCGGAAATGACACACAAGCACTGAACTGTATTTTTTCGACGTAACTTCCCAGCCCCAGCAAGAACTAAGAAATTATCGAAATTTTCAATCTATCCAAATGAAATGTTCTTTAAAATTAGCAATATATTAATATGACTGGTTAATCTAGTCAATGGATCACCTTTTCTTTCTCATTGATGCATCTTCCAAATTAATACTACCATAATAGTTCCTGGGTGGTAAGACATCTTCTCCTTATTGTACCCTTCAACTCTTAAAAATTCTTGAACGTCAAATTCGTTTTTGATTGTTCCATGACACGCTCCAATATATTGTTCTTAAAGTAAAAATCTTCAAAAGAGAGGGATAAACATACTGACAAGGAGAGATTCAAATTTAGAAAATCTTTTCTCCTTTAAACTTGCAATACCAAGGAGTCACATCTCAGCTTCACTACACCTCTTCCTTATCTTCCTTCATTCATTTGATTATTTTGTTTGGATTTGTTCCCAAACAGTCAATCCCCTTTTTAGCCTATTTGTAACCTTGGTATCTCTCCAAGTTTCAGCATTGAGAAAAAATGTTTCCCTCCATAAACTGAAACTAGAATGTGCCTGTTTATGTGACAATATTTGTGCTCTCTTTTTGCTTTTTTAGCTTCATTCATAGACATAAAGAAAATTAATTTTTTTTTCACGTCGATAATGAATGTTCACCGACTGTTTTTGAATGTTCATCAATCAAATTCATTAAGAGATAAATGCATTAAAGCTTCTATGTAAGAGGACAAAGAAAAAAAATTACCCCTTAAATAAATAGATTCGTATTTGGAAATGTGACTCACAGGATATAAAAATGGTTATCATCAGGAAAATTTCCTACTCCCTTCAAGAAGTCGCTCAGTCACATTGCTTTCGGGACTTTCATTCAAAATGTCATGAGCAAACGCATACAAACTTCAAAGAAATCCCTCAAGATATACACCGAAGAGCCATCACATTATGACCACCCTGCTAATAACATGTAGGACCACCTTTAGCCCTCAAAACTGCTAGCACCCGCCGTGGCATTGATTCCACAAGGTGCTGATAGGTAGTCTGAGGTATCTGGTACCAAGCGCTCACCAACTGGTCCTGAAATTCCCTCACATTGCGAGGGGGTAGCGTGGCAGCACGAATTTGGTTTTCCAAGTAGGACCACAAATGCTCTATTGGATTAAGGTCAGGTGAATTTGGGGGCCAAGACATGACTTGAAAGTCACTGGAATGTTCCTCGACGATTCGACCCTTATGACATGGTGCATTATCCTATTGGTAAGCACCATCCCCCGCAGGAAAAACTGCTGCCATGAATGGGTGAACTTGGTCTGCAACTATGTTCAAGTAGCTTACAGACGCCAGGGATTGTCCTATGAGGATTATGGATCCCAATGTTCCCCATGAAAACATTGTTCTTGGGCGAGAAACCATGAAAACCTGGGCCAGCCCATTGTTATAGATGGAGGGTGGTCATAATGAAATGGCTCTTCGGTGTATTTTGCAAAATAACTAAATTTTTACCTTGACCATTATTGTCTCAAATTCTATCCGTTTTAGACAGTCACTGTTATAAATTTTAAAGCACATTAAACCCTTCTTGTGCTCAAGTGTGAAACAAGCTCGATATGGTGCTAAGTTGTACCATATTATTGCACTTCTTAAACTTGATTGCACGATGCTGTGGTACAATTTAAACAGAAATAAGATTCAATATAGTACCTAATCAAGGTCGCAGTAAATTTGCACTCTATGTTCAAGATATCGAGATTATGCCTCATCATTGAACCAATTTTTCTTCAAATAAACTCATATTTTAAAATTTGAGTGAATGAATGTCATTAGGTAAATTAGCTTTAAAGTTTATATGTAATAACAATAGACTCAAAGATTATGGCTTGATTATATTTTTTGTACGCAAGTTTGCAGTTATCGTAGTCTATATAAAACTCAAACACTCATTTAAGCTGTTTGCGTCGCATTCTTGGTTCTTTAATATGCTGCTAACAAAGGAAACTAGGGAAGTGTGACTCGCCAATTTTGAAATAAACTAGCGGGATGTATGCCTTATGAGGTATAATTTTTGGGGGAAACATTCGTTTCGGCCCATAAAAGGTCCTATGAGAGATAAAAAATAATTCAATACACAGAAAAATTGGTATTTTATTACTTCAATGCAGACTATTAGTTATTGTAATTGTCTCATACTCCAATTAATTTGGTGGTAATAATTAATTAATTTTCTGATTGATTTATTAATTAGCAAATTAATTAGTTATCCAATTAATTACAAATTAATTAGATTATGAGACAATTACAACAATTAATAGTCTGCATTGAGGTAATAAAATGCCGATTTTTCTATATATTTAATTATTTTTTTATCTCTCACAGGATCTTCCATGGGCCGAAACGAATGTTAATTAGTTTATTAATTAGCAAATTAATTAATTATCCAATTAGTTACAAATTAATTGGAGTATGAGACAATTACAACAACTAGTAGTCTACATTGAAGTAATAAAATACCGATTTTTCTATATATTTAATTATTTTTTATCTCTCACAGGACCTTCTATGGGCCGAGACGAATGTTAATTAATTTATTAATTAGCAAATTAATTCATTATCCAATTTATTACAAATTAATTGGAGTATGAGATAATTACAATAACTAATAGTCTGCATTGAAGAAGTAATAAAATACCAATTTTTCTATATATTGAATTATTTTTTATCTCTCACAGGATATTCTATGGGCCGAGACGAATGTTGCCCCCTAAAATAATTCCTCATAAGGCATACATCCCACTAGTTTATTTCAAAATTGGCGAGTCACACTTCTCTAGTTTCCCTTGTAAGAGTCAGGTTTTCTGATATTACTCGTCGACTGTACATTGCAAAGTGTGCCTCGATTATTCGTTAACCCCAAAATTACACAGAGTCTGTCCCTTGCATCGTTCATACATAGAAATTTTGGAATAAAATAACATAGCAAAATAAATGCTGTTAATTAGACTAAATAATTAAGACTAAAATAAGATATTTTCTCAATAAATCGCTTTCCTTTTATTAAAAAAAAATCTTTATACTCTTTATCTACTTTTCTAAGTTCAAAGAGTATTATCATGTCAAAATTTCAGACAATTTACCAAAAACCTGCGCTTGGTACTTTTTCTCATTCATTTCTGTGAAATGACAGTAACTTTACTATTTGTTATCAGTTTATGATACTTAGTTTAAATATTTATATTTCAGAACCCTGGTTGGTTTGATTGAATGCATTGAATTAAAAACCAGCATATACTGCGGACTGTCGGAAGCTGGTTTAATGATGGAATTAATAGGAATGTTCAAGCCTATATTCGAAAACGAATGCAACAAAACTGGAATTGTTTTGTCACACATGGTTCAGTTTTCTTTTTAATCAGCTGCATTTTTCATGGTTTACAGTTATTGTTTGATTTCTTTGATATTTTATTAACAAAATAGTCTTTTTTTTTCAATTTAAAGTAAATCTATTATAAAATGTGGGTCATTCTCCTTAAAACCATCATTTTAAGTTAAATTTGTAAAATTCAGAGAAAAAAAAAACTTTGTAATTGTATAATATTATTTCTAATTATATTAATTTCTAATTATATTATGACTTAAAAAAATTTTATATTTTAAGCTATAGAGTAGTTAGTATTTTTAATTTTTTAGATAGTTAATACTCTAAAATCATTCCCTCATGTCTGTAATGTATTAGCAAGGAAATGACAAATTCTTTAAAATTTAAAAATAGTTTTGTTGCTTAATTATTTGGAATTAGTCATGCACAAATATATTTATTCATGGAATTATAATGATTCACTTTTTAGGTGCTATTTAATTTCATTTTACCCTTAAAAAAACATGACATATTGATATAATGGTAAAAAATATTTTCTAATTCAAAAGTATTCCACATGCAAATTTTCAATGAGTTGAAGATAATAAAAAAACGCTCTATTATTTTTTTATGTTTGCTAACTGTATATCATTAACATTTTCAATAAAAGATTTTATTTTGTGGTGATTTAGAATAATTTATATTGTATTGAGCAGGAATTTCGGAATGCTCTAGAACAAACATTAACATAATGCTGTGGCAATATTTTTTTATAAGAATTTGTTTTCTGAATTTTATATTTTAAGATTATAAAATGAAAATTGTAACGCTGTTAATTTGTTTTCTTATAAACAATTTTTATTATCTTTATTGAGAATAAGTGAGCGGGAATAAGTGAGGAATTGACATATAGGTATATTTCAGTTAATATTTAAAATAATTAAAAAAATAATTTGTCCTTTTTATTGTTTTGTTGACATGACTTCTAAAATAAACTTTATACCCAAAAAATTTATTCATAAGTTATGAAACATTTCTAAGTAAACTGAATCATAAAAAAACTGTTTCTCTGAAAATGACCCGTGTACTTGTTGTAAAGGATTAAACCAAATCTAATTCTGGCAAGATCCAAGGTTATGGATCGCTTACCAGGCAAATTATTTACCATCTAAAAGTTATTAATAGATTCGAATTTTAAAAAAAACTATAAAAACTTTCTTTTTTTCTTTTTAATTATTTTAAGTGATATTTGTAATTCTTACAAAGTACTGTTTTATTTATTTAACAATTGTTCGTATGTCAAATTAATGTAGAAACTAAAAATGAATAAAATATTGAATAAATTAGTTTAAAAGTGTGTTTACTGGTTGTTAAAGCTATACAAAAGTTGTGAAAGTTTAAACTAATTTGCACCCAGAATTGTACACTCTTTACTCGAACGATTTTGAAAATCCAGTGAAGCTCACAGTATTTTTTTACTAAATAAATTGCTTATAAATTCAGCCTTTTTAACAACAACAAAAATTCGCAAAGTTAGAATATGGTTGATAACTGCTCTTTTGCTGCTCTTGTCTGTACTTTCAATGGATTCTTGAAAATTCTCACAAGCACAGTTAAAAAAAATACGAGCCTGTTTAATCGCAATTTTTAAGTTATGGCAAAGGAAAAATAAGTCAGATTAATAGAAAACTATAGTACAAATATTAAAAGACAAAAGGAAATTTATTACACTTAACATGCAAAAATGTCTTATCGAAACAGTTTATTGGCAAAAGAAAGAGTATAGGTGTTGCCAACGAGAAATAAACAAATATGAACTAAAATTATCGAGATATCACTCATTTCAAGACTCCTTCCAATATCAAGACTAATTCTTATTTTAAGTAAACAATCACGGAAAGCATAACAAACTATAAAATAATGAAAACACTACATTTACCTAAATTCCTACAAAATACTAGTCTACTGTGTCTATTACGGTGGTTCTCATCTCATGGATTTATTCGCGATCGCAACGCTCGAGTACGCCGTCTAGCGGGAGCCTGTAAATATCAGGCATTAATTTATCACGTTTTCATTTAGTACCATCAAAATCATCGACTGAATCAGACGCGAACCACAACATATTCAATCTCTACTTTTGAAATTGAAATAGATAGTTATAATCGGTACTACCACGTAATGGCTGATTGAGAATTAATCAAAACTGTACCAGATGTTGAGAGTATAGTCTTAATATCACCATCATGGTCAGCAACACCGAAGAAAGAATAATTAGTTTGTATGCATGTGTTTAAAACCTCAACATCAATTGTGCCAAGTAAATATCTGAAGATCCTCTTTTCATTTTCTCTGTCACCTTTTGTAGCTTTACCCTGAGTTCTTGAAGCAAAAGTAGCAGTAAAAGCTACAACTTGCCTGTTTGTCATAATAAAATATTGTAAACTACCAACTACCTCTCTTTAAGGAACATCTCTCTAATGAGATTTAGTATCATCACAAGGATTCGATATAGCTATAAGTTCAATCCCGAATCTCGAATTTTTTTGGTAATTCTTTAGGATGAACCATAGTCCTTGCAGCTTCCACAATAGTTTTCTTCTTCTTCTCTTCACCTTCATTATATTCGGGAGTTTCAAACATATCGAAACCCAGTTCAGTGTCTCGATTAGTCAGAATTTTTTTTTTCACTGAGTAGTTGATGAATTTAGTAACAGCATGACAGAGGATCTGTTCAACAATATGTTCAGCAGTGTTTACTTAATGAAGGGAGGTGTCTAATTTTGCTTTTCAGTTTTTTTTTTTTTTTTTTTTTTTTTTTTTTTTTTTTTTTTTTTCATTTTAAAGAGATTACTCAGTGAAATTTAAGAAAATTATTCTTGAAAAAATCATTTGAATTTTAGAAAGTCATCGATTTAGGTGCAACGTTGGACCCATTTTTCAGTGTTAAAGACCTCATACATCTTCCTACTTTTTCAATTCCTAAATAGATACATGGCTATAGAATGATATTTAGAATAAAAAAATAATAGTGTGAGAATGAAAAACATACTAAAAAATACAAGTACTCTCTTAATAAGCTTATCCCATAAAATAAACTGAAAAGTAATGCTTCTCTAGACACTTATAAAAACTATAAATTTATGTGCAACAGGTGATGTCAAGGAAAAATTAAAAACAATAAACGTAACTCCGTTTGTAATTTTTATGAGCAATGCGAAATGTTCTAAAAAAATCTACTATCTTGCCAAAAGCATTTATTATTCCCCTTTTAGTGAAAGAATTAAACCATCGGAATCAAAATGTGTTATAAGATATTTATATCATCATTATTGGCATTAACTATTATCGTTACAGGTAAATTGTTTGTTCTATTCTGTTCTATTCTAGATATTTTATTTTTAAAGAGATAATAATGTCTTCCACGCAGATACATAATAAAAGAAGAAACTTAATAAAAGAATGACATTCTTAATCGTTTTATAAGAAGCGGTTGTTATAGTTACCGATATCACATTCTTTACCGTCTAATATACCTTCAAAATATTGGCAAGATTTTGTGTACCATTATTTTGGCTGCTCCATAAGTGTGTTAGCTGGTAAAATGTAGAGCATTTGTATTGCGTGTTACAATTAAGTATCCAAGGGCGTCCCATACTTGTTCGATGGGATTAATGTATCACCTCCTACATCAAAAAGTCTCCACATAGTACTTTATAAGTAGCCTGCGCAGACTATTTGAAAAGTGAACCAGCTGTGCGCATTAACCCAAATTCTATTTTAAAAGTAATTGAGGGAAATTTATCATATATATTTGAGAATTGAATCTGTAGTGGTTGACAAGTGAATAAGACAAGCCAATCATATTCATGAAGTAAATAAATTTTTAGACATTTATTTGTTACCACTTTCTTCTTTTTACTAGATTTTCTATTAAATGGCTCTTTCGAAATTGCTTTGCCTTCATAGAGGTCAGATCGGACTGCCTATGAGAAACCGTCCGGAGAGTTTTTAGTTGTAGGAGGCGTTGATTAAGGTCAGGGAACATCTTAGGCTACTCCAAGATTGAATATCTTCCAAATTGGAGATTGTGTCTACCAACTAAGACCTTTGTGAACAAGCGTTATTGTCAATAAAAAAAAAATTCGGTCCATATGCTCCACTAAAAAGTCTCACATTGAGTGCAAGGCTTTCGTCCCTGTACTTGAAGGTTGATATGCCTATCTGCCATGATGTTTGCCCAGACCATATGACCACTTCGATCACAGTGGTCTTTTTCGGCAACGTTAGAGGGTCGATAACGACTCACGATTCTCTCCAGATGAGAATATGTCTCGAATCACTGTCCAGACTGAATCGCAACTCACGACTGAAGAAAAAGATGTTCTCGGTACCATGCTAGACAGTCCTTTCTGAGATTCACAGTCGAAGGGATGCAGATTACACAGCACCTGGCAAACAAGCCACTTAACAGTCTTGAGCTGACGTTGTTGCCCTTTCGCGCCATAACACTAGGTCGATAGATCACTGTTCTTGTCTCTGTGAACTTCCACAGAGTGGACACCACATTTCTCGAACCCCGAGGTCCCTACAGTAGGTAGCCTATGATTGGCTCCCCTCGAGTCTTCTATGTATCCACCATATTGTAGCATCGTCTAGACGGTGACGACTGGCCATATTAATGACGGGTAAGCAAAGAAATTCAAAAAACAAGGATTGGGCTAGGCTACGATGCTTCAAAGCGATCTTAAAGCTGTCTTTCAAGCATGTAAGCTTTAGCGAGCAAAACATAATCACAGCACCACTGTCTTTCGACGTAACACGCCACTGCATGCCAGAGGTGCCCGCGAAGAGCTAAACTATCATCTGATATTGCATTTGAGTATATGCGTTACTTATTTTATTATTTAAAAAAAATGTTATTTCCCTTAATTGTTTTCATATTAGTGTATTTAAGCCTACAGATCTTCAAAAGATAATGCTTATTTTACCTTTTGAGGATCTGTAGGCTTAAGTACAGTTTACTGATTTCTCATCGGTGGTCGGGCTACCGAAGCGGGGCTGCCCTCCCCTCTGCAGAGGATCAAAATTGTGATGGCGTGTCTTCGGATCATCCTCAGGAATGTTTCCCAGACTGTCATCAATAGCCCATTGTGCAGCTCTACAGCGACATAAATGAACTACAACAACAACAACTTCTCATTGCTTCTATTTATGCATTGCATTTATTGTTTTCGTTTTAGTTTTATTTTCCTTTGGAACTTTTTGGAACTAGAGATTTTTAAGTGTTCTCTACGTGTCTCAATATTTTTTTTCCAATGGCAGGCACTGAATTTGAATCTTTTGCCTATACTATGCCAGAATTGTTGCTCATTTCGCGTTACCCAGTGGGCACCTGTGAACCAAAGTCACGGAGGCGAGCAACATTGCCCACGCCACACTGCCACAAACCCGTTTATAGGGTGGGCCACATTCACACATCATACACACAATAGAGGACAGCACAAAGAGAGAGAGAAACATCCATGCCCAGAGCGGGATTCGAACCCGCAGCCTATGGCTTCGCAGTCAGGCACGCTAACCATTCGGCCACCTGACCGGCCGTGTCTCAATATAATCTTGATCATTTTGTAATTTAGATATTTTTATAACTGAAATATTAACTGAATTTCGTATCTTTTTATAGAAATGTAAACTAGTTTTTTTTAAATGGCAATTTATTTTTTGATTAAAAAGCTACCGTATTAAATTTTATCTAAATTTCTTACTCAACTAGTTTTGAACTCAACTAGAAATGTAAACTAGTTTTTTTTTAAATGGCAATTTATTTTTTGATTAAAAAGCTACCGTATTAAATTTTATCTAAATTTCTTACTCATTGTTTAACAGAAAAGTATCAGTTTTTTTCATTTTGAGCTTAGATTGAAAACATTATTCTGGATCTAATAACTAATTATTCTACGGAATAAAAATGGCGTTGTTAAAATAAATTCACCTTTAATGATCAATTTATAAAATTCTTAGCTATATTTACTTGTCCAAATATAATAATAGCTTTTATACTTCTACAAGAATTCTGCACAGATTATTTTCAAAAATACTGAAACTCCTGCATTCAGTTCTAGTTATTAATATGGAAATTAATTATTTTTATAAATAAACAATTTGATTTCAAACTGTTCCCTTAATTAACTGTTCCATCTCTCCTGAAATTGTCAAGATGATGATATTTTTTATGCTATACGTAATGTAAAATTCTGGGACATTGTGCAGTTGTAAATGAAATTCATATTTTAAAATTGAATTAAATGTTTCTATCGTCCATGAATTCAAGTTTACGATAGTTCAAGATTTCGATAGTTCAGGAATTCAAGTTTTTTATAGTTTTCAATAATTTTACCTTAATTAGTTATTGAAAGTTTAAAATTTTATTTAACCTTCCCTTTTAAAATCTTTTTTATCTCATTATTCACAATCAAATATTTGATTGGATATAGTTAGTCAAAATTACCCATGTAACATTTCGCCATTTAGTTATCAAGTTATCATTTAAAACCCATTTTATTAGAAATTTAATATATATATATANTAAGATATATATATAATAGAAACTATATGATATATAATCTTTTTATAAAAATATATTATCAAAAGAAATTTTAATTTTTCTAATTAAAATTCGGAATGATTTTTTACAAACAATTAAATTTCAGAGCTTTTAAATTGGGATTCATCTCCTTGTAGTATAAAATGTTAAAACAAAGGAATAAAAAGAATGAAGATAGCTGGGAAAAAAGCCTTTGTTTCAATCAGAAGCTGGCAAAAGTAGTAAAACAAATTGTTCAGTTTTATGGCACTTTTAATGCTCACTCTAAAAGTATAGAGCGTTAAAGGTCAGAGCAGAAATTACTGTTCAACAAAATACTTATATTAGAATAGCCGCTTCAGACATTTCACGTCCATTACTAACCTACAATTATTTTAAATGTTAAAACACCATAAATTAAATGTTTCTCGTAGTTATGTTTTCATTATTTTTTAATAAAAAATCTACTTTGAAACAAAAGCCATCCATAAATCTTTTTTTTTTGTAGCATGAACAATATAATAACAATAGTAGTACTTTATTCACGTCGCACTAGAGCTGCACAATAAGCTATTGGTGATGGCCTGGGTAACATTCCTGAAGATGATATGAAGACATATGGCATCACAATTTTGATCCTCTGTAGAGTGTATTGCTCTCTCGCTTTGGTAGCACTACGACCTGCTCGCGAAAACGATCACTTCACGGTTAAACAGTTTAACTAGGACCAATGACGCACACCCTCGGTCCCTAAGCAGACTGATCAAAGTGGTCGCCCACTTACTGACAGCAGCCATTGATGCTAGACTTCGGTATTTTTCTGAGAGCCTTTCCGAGTGTTTTTAACCCCTTAACGCACAGATTTTTAAAAAAAAAACGGGCCAATAAAAAATCCATTTTTTTTAATGCGAAAAAAAATTATTCCGATCCTGGTTCAACTTTTCTTTAGGTGGACAATTTTGATATACTGTAGGAAAAGGCTATATTTTATTCTTGAATAAATAAGTGTTATAGCTTACACTCCTACGTAAATGATAAATATATATCAATAAAACAATTTTTTTCTCTTTGCTTTCACATTGTTATTTTCAATTCTCGATTATATTCGAGTGTGAAAAATTATAGCAGCATAAAATGCAACGCCTCTCGAATTATCTCGAGTGTGCACAGTTTGGCCTGTTTAGCCAATACCTCCTAGATAGGAAGAAGGTACTGGTTTATCAGCCTCTAGAACTGGCGGCCCGACTGGCTGCCCAACTGGCGGCCCGGGGGCCGCATCCGGCCCGCGAAGCCCTTTTTTTGTGGCCCGCGAACTAAACTATATTAGTTGTCATTTTTTGCTGATAATTTTCGAAAAGAATCAATATGGGTTTAAAATACTTTTCTCGTTAATAAAAACATAATTTCTTCATATCTGTGAAATTTAGCTTAAAAACGGTGCAAAAAAAATTTATTTCTCAGGTTTTGCACCCAGGAAAATATTTATTCGAATGCAAAAATAATAGTGTATCTAGCTCTATTTTATTTAATTTTTTTGCATTTTGTGAATATAATTCAGCATGTGCGTATCAGAAATTTTCTCGAAGAAATTATCCGATTTAACTTTTTGAAACCATTCACTCATTTTGGACGAAAATATTTACACACACATTTGTAAATTTTAAATGTAAATATATCTATTCTCTGGTGGTTGTAGCAGATAAATCTCAATTTTCTCATTGAATATTTTGTGTGCTACTATGTAAGTTTTAATACCAACATTTTCAAAGTT